ATGAAAGAAGTCATGAAATAAAATGAAGAACTGCTATTACCATGGATAGGTTATCGTTCGAGAATGTGATTACTTTTTTTGCTCATGTAAAGAATTTGTCTTAATTTATTAAGAAAAACAAATCCTTTGGAAATCATCAATTCACTATGTATGAATAAGTTTATTTCTTCAAATTTGACTAGAATTTTACCTCTGCACACGCACTTTAACGTATTTGGTTATCGAAGTGATCGACTAATAGAAAACTTGTATAATAACAGATGCCTATAGAAAAAACTAGAGTAGATACTAGACAGTGAAATTTTTTCAGGTATTGTTGCAGTTCATAAATTTCTAGTAGAAGATCCTGTTTCACTGAAAATCCAAAATATTCAAAATCAACGTTAGAAATGAATAAAATAAAGGAAATTTTGCGTTATATTTTTTTCAGTTGTTTGGTTTTTCCTGTGTAGAATGTGATAGTATTGGTATAATAGATGTTGTCGATATTTGTACAAATAGAGAGAAACAACAATTTTTTACTGACAATTTCCAATAGGATATTGCGACATCATTATAGTTTTCAATAAAAATAACATTAAAATATTTCTAAACGCAAAGAAGTTGCTCATAAAGCTGTTCGTTTTTTTCCATAAGAATGTTATGAAGAAAAAGAAAAAGCTGCTGCTGACATGTATAAATATCTCTGAGCGAATTAAAAATGTTACATTTCCTTCAATAATGAAATAATGGATAACATTTTGTAAAAACTTTTTAGATTTTGTTAATCAAAATGTTTATATGAAATCAATGATTTACTGTTAATGAATGATTTTTAATATTTAACTACTAGTTTATAAATAACTCCTTTGTGTGGCAAATAATTCGATTTAAAAGGTGAAGACTTTCTCAGTTGTGAAATAGATTCTATTTGCAACAGATCGAAACAAAAAAAGACTAAAATTCTGCTTTATGAACTATCACATAAAAGTATAATTTTACAGTTTTGACCTGAAATTAAACAAAGACATAGAACTCTTTCATATCAAAAGGGACGGAAATCGATACTACTGAATAAACTTTGCTTTGAGAAACATTCCTACCAGAATCTAGGATAGTCCATCGTTTTTAAATTTTGCAATTAGAATTTTAGCCCTGAATTTTAACCTCAAATTTAAAACAAATATAATTCCTTGGTATTGAAATAGACGAGAATTCGCATAGCACAAAATCTTTCATTCTATAGAATATTGACCCCAATGATGAGAAAAAACGATTATAACCTAACTGTAAACTCAAATTTATAAAAGAACTAATTATCGCCAAATGAAAAGAGACGATCATTGTGTTATCCGCTTAAAATTCTTTCTGTTGAAGTTATTGACATTTGATATAAGAAGAAATTCTGGTTTATCCATTTTCGAATAAAAAGCATAATCTTAGATTTTTAGTTAATGTTCATTGGAAAATATAATTCATTCAAATACAAATGAGTGAAAAATTCTCATTTCATAGTTTTCAAGTAAAAATCTTATTTCCAATTTGGAGTCGAAATAATTATCAAGACTAGAAAACGATCAGATAAAAAAAGAAGAGTAGCTCTCATCGCTGAAAATCTTTTCTTTTGCGAAATATCGGCAAGAGAAACCTGAGAAATTCTTGATTATTAATTGACAAATTGAAGAATTCATTTTTAATTTTCCCCTGAAATTCAGAGCAGAAATGGAATTGCTTAATTTGAATTTTGAGGGACTTTTCTATCTCGGGATATCAGTCGTTGACCGAGATTACAACGTCAGAAATTAGGAAAAATCTTCTTTTTATTGTGTTTTGAGCTATCAAATTAAAAATTGAGATTTTTTTTTAATTTTGAGCTGAGATTTATTATTGTACAAGTCTTCTGTCACACGAAACAGAACAATGCATAATCCTTTACTATCTCAATAAAAGACATTACTCATATTTGATAGAAATTTAAGGTGGAAATTTGTCTAATTCTAGCAGAATTATTTGATAATCTTATTGAAAATGTGATACATGATTTCAAAACACATCGAACTGAACATGAAAATAATTCATCATGAACTCAAAATTCTTCAATGGTGACAAAATAAAATTTCGATAAATTGTCCTCAAGGATCGTTCTATTGTATGCTTGGATTCAAATGTTGATTATCAACAATTTTATAAGAGTGTGTATGAAAAGTGAACGAAGATTGCAGCGAACAGGAACTTTAGGCATCTTATAAACGAAAGGGCATTAGTCCATGTAACCGTCATGTAATATATTCTTTAACATATTAAATCAGCTATGAGTGCACTAATTTAAGATGACTTCGAAAAAAATATTCCGCTGAGAAATAAACAATAGAATTGGAATTATTAGGTTATAATGTTTTTGAGTGAGTAGTTTGGATAGATTAGGTTTCTTGATCTCTTGCAATTATCGGCAAATTGATATGTTTGAGTGGGAAAAAAAATGAGGTTTGCTTGAAAGATTAATGTGATCAATGTTTGGTTAACTTCTACTTCAAAACTTTATTTTTGTTTCTAACTATTACCACTTTTGTTTAGTTCAAGTAGGATCTAATTTCAAATGGAAGATAGTTGACGTTTTCGATTCATGAAGTAAATCTAACTATTCTTAATATGTAATTGATATCTTTTTACCAAAACTCGACTAGAGATACATTGACTAATTGGATAATCTAGATATTATGGATAGTGCATTTCATATTTCTAATAAACTTTTGATACATAAAAGAGATTGAAAATAAAATAGAATTTTATATTAATTAGAATTATACTGACAGAAAAGTAGAAATATGTCTTTAAAATTTATTTCTTAAAATTCATAATGTCTAATTAATTAAATTTAAATATTACTCTTAATGACATCAATAATTGACAACTTTTAGAGTTATGTATATATATGTTTTTCTTCATTTGATTTCTGTTAGTCATATTTTATTATTACAATATATTTTGATTTGATTTTTTAACATTTTAAGTTTGTATGAAATGAAATAGAAAAATCTACAAATGTTCAATATAAATTACTGAATATAAAGTGACATAATAGTCTAATGAATTACAAAAGTTTAAAATTTGTAATATCACTATTTATTAGATCAATAAAGTTAATTATTTAAAATAATATTAGGTTTTGTTTAATGATATTTTCGTTATTGATAATGATCTCTAAGAGACTTTAATTGGAAATCGAAAATCTCAGATTGCAAATATATAAAGAAAATCCAAGTGGGATCTTAAATAAAACAGTTTATCAGAGTAACATGCTATTGAATTTTATTAGAGCAATATATTTAATTAGATTTTGAAGAGTTAACAATAGATATAGGTGAAAATCAATAATAAATTAGTAACATCAATCGCTTTCCTTGTCTTATAAAACATAAAAATCTCGGATGACGTATATTATTTGAATACATATAGAAAATTTTGTACTTTAAAGATGAGAATGAATGAAATAAGAATGTTTTGTACGTTTAATATTTTACAGAAATCTAATATATTCTCAACAGTAAAGGAGAAGAACTTTCAGACGAGAGAGACAGTATTCTAATGATAAACGTTGTCAATATCTTCACAAATGAATTAACTTAATAGTTCTCTTGTAAGAACATCTAATTGAATAGTGAGGTAGCATTATGGACTTGATTAAAATGATAGGATGTTAGTTAGCATTGCATACAATAGAACTTTTCTAAAATAAAAAATAAAGTTGCTCATACAACTATGTTTTTTTCCTTAAATATTTTATGTAAAAAACGATAAGTGACTCATGATAAAATCAATAAGTTAAATTGACTGTATTTTTGCTTCAATTATAAAATTGTTCTCTCTTTTTAATAAAAAAAAAAAAAAAACTTTCTTTGCAATTACTTGAATTAGAAGAAATCGATTTATTATTTTCTATTTAAAACATCGAAGTAAAAAAAGAAAGAAATTCTAATATGTAAATTGATCAGATAATTTTTCATTAAGCAAAATAAAATAAATTTAAAGAAAATATCGTTGTCACCAAAGATATTAACGAAATATTTTCTGCTGTAAAGGGAAAATGTTTTTTTTTCAATATTTTCACTAATTTCTTAAATTCTCTAATTCAATATTTTCTCATGCATCGATATTTGACAAATAAAGCGATGAAACATAAACCATTTTATTACGACATTACTTAGTTTATTCGGTAATAATGAGAATATCTTATAATACTATTGTCAGTTGAATAGTTTTTAAATAATATCAACATTTTAATTAATAATGAAATTCAATTCAAACTCTAGAAGAATATTTTGCTTAGATATTTCAAAATTTTATTGAAGAGGAGAAATTGAATTTCTTCATATGAAAAAAAAAACAGAAGTTTTCAGTTTTAAAAATTATTCATTGTGAAATATTTTGAGAAAATTCTCAATTAATAAATTTTTAACTTTGGGTGAAATTTATAGCAGAAATAGAATTTCTTTTCTATCGAAAATAACAGACGTTTTCATATATCAAAATAGTTCATTTCTAAAAATATTCAACGAAAACACTTCTACAAAAATGTTTCTATAATCATTTTTGAATCTGTTATTTTAAATAATGACTCACTTGATATGACTAAACCGGAAAAATCTTCATTAATGAATTACGAAAGTTAAAATTTTGTTTTCTATTTTTCAGCTAAAATTCAAGATAGAATAGAAGTCTTCTGTCACACAAAACAGAGTGTTATACATAATCCTTCACTATCACAGTAGAATATTCTCCTCAGATTCAATCGAAGTCTAAGATCGACATTTTTCAAATTCATTCAGAATTATTTGATAATCTTTTTCAAAACTTGGATTATGATTTCAAAATAGATTTTGATAATCAACAAATTGATGCAAGAGTGTATGAGAGAGATTGAAGATCTATACTTAGAAAATCAGTTAGAAAGATTACTTACTCTATTATCATCTTTCAATCCATTGGCTAGATGCTGTGCACCAATATCTTCGATTTTATTATTAGAAATGTGCATGTGCAGCTCCTTGAGTCCCTATATTAAAAAGTTAAATAAGATTATGAGAATTACACATTTGAACAGTATCTGACATCTTTTGATAAATCATCACGTTTAATCTATCTCTCTATATTAGATTACTTTTTTAATGTGGAAAAGTGAGAACTAACTTAAGTCATAGGACAGAACGAACTTGAATTCATACAATCATCTTATTAAATGTTCACATTGCTCGAATTCATATCAAGCTTTCTAATTTTAGATGGTTTCGAAAGAAATAAATTCTTTGTAAACTACATAGTGAAAATTGGAAAATTTAGTCATATTTCTTAATTAAACTTGATTGGATGAGCTATTTTTTTTGTAAAATTTTCTTAACATTTATTTGATCCAGATAGACAAAGGTATCAATACACTTGAAAAATAAGTGTAATAGATTCTCAATAGAATTTTATTTAAAAACGGTATTATTGTTCTTAACTATTCTCATTGTCTTTCGATAAAAATTTGGACCAACAATTATCAATAATTGAAAAGGATTTCATTTCTTGATTTTCTCAATGATGAAAATCAAGAGAACATGTCATTTTGTTATTGAGTTATTATATCACTTGAAATCAGAATAATTCATGATTTCTTCATTTTTCAACGGAAAACATTACTTTTTTTATTTGAAAATCAGACAGAACATTACAAATATTTGAAGTCTATTAGATTGAATTAAATGAAACATTCTACTTATACCGAGATATTTTTAAAATAACAAAACCTCAGAAAAAGAAATTCTTTTTTAATGTGAAGTTGAAATTCATAGCAATACAAGATTTTTTTTTTTGTCTAAATTTATCATACGATCTTAATTAGGTTTAATAAAATCTCATTTAAAAATACTTCTAAATAAATTTATAAACAATTGATCAGCAACTCATCATTTGTTTCCTTTAGAATAGATTTTGAACAAATAAAATTTTTGTGAATTATGTAATATCGACAAAATGAGTTCTTGACAACTTGATCTCAACAATCTTTCTATTGTACTCTTTGATTTGACTATTCATTATCAACAATTTTACAAGAATGTTTGTGAAAGAACGAAGATCTTGATTTAGGATACCAGTTAGAGATATTGCTGACTTGATTGTCTTTTAGCCCATCAGCGATATGTTTTGCTCCATTATCTCCGATTTGATTATATTCAAGTGTCTAAGTACGACAGTGGCTATATTAGAAAGTTAAATAAGACTATTATAAGGGCATTCGAACAATATCTGACGTCTTTCAATAGTTCATAATATACTAGGTCATTTCTTTGAGATTGGAAAGCGAGGAGCAATTTTAGAGATATTACAGAGAAAATTTGAGTTCATACAGTCACCAGGTTATATTCTCATTTACTCGAATAAGCGGCAAGTTCTCTGAACATAGATGGTTTCGAAAGAAAATGTATTCGTTGTAAAAAAAAAAAGACAATAAAATTGCAACTCTTCGCAGTTATTCTTATTGAAACTTCATCAGATGTGTTATCTCTATGCTCTATACAATTCTTCTGATCAATGTAAATTAATAGAAATAAATATCGATTTGCTTGCAAAATGAATGTGATCGATTCTGAATAGAATTATATTTTAAAACACTCGAGTCTTTCCGAACTATTCTTATAAACCTTCAGATAAAATCTGATTCCATTCTCAATGGCAGAAAAAAGAGTCGTCTTATTGACTTTCTTAATGATCAAAAACATATCACATATGTCATGCTCGTTAGCTATTGTCACTCAGAATTAAGACACCATCATTTTTATAATTTATGTGCAGAAAAAGTTTTTCTTTTAATTTCACACTGGAATTTATATCAGTAGAAATCATCTTCGACATGAAGCTGAGCTGTTTAGTTCTTGCATAATCGTCTTGATACTGCGTTTAGTCAACATTTAATTGGAATGAACGGTTAAAAAATGTGATGTTTGTCTTAATTAATTATATGATTTTAATCAGCTTTAAACACTTCATCCAAAAATACTCTCAACTAAACATGATAATAGTTTGTCAATAACTCCTACGTATGTTTCCTTCCTTTAGAATATATTTGAACAACTAGAACATTCTTGCAAATTATGTAACGTTAGCAAAATAAGATCTTGAAGACTTGGTCTCAACGATCTTTCCATTGTTTGCTCGAATTCGACTGTTGATTGTCAACAGATTTATTTGAATTTTT